GGTGAGAGGCCGGCCGGCCAGGGATCAGTGGTTACTTACCAGCGCAACGCTTTGCGTTTCGATTTCCTTATTGCCTGGGTGCAGCTGAGGTGCCTCGGCGCGTCTTTGTGCGTGAAAATATCTTTTCTGCTCTTCGGCTTTCTTCTCCCAGGTCCACAAAGTTAGCAGCGTCTTTAAAAGGTGGAACCTATTCAGTTCCAAAACACCTTCAGAGCGTGTTTTCACGTTTTCTGCTTGCCCTAGCTGCTGACAGAAACTTTGATGTAGGTCCTACAAATTATACTGGGGGGAGGGGACTAAGCAGGAGCAAACTGACGAATATTTATTTTAGGAAATGGAGAAATGAACAGATTGTTCCTCTTGCGTAGGAATGTGGAAAAATGACAGTCTTACAAGCAGCCCTGAGTTTCATGTAACAAATTAACACATAGCCTTTTCTGCAAGTCTATAGGCGCTAGTTACCTACAAACGGTACTTAAAAAATCCACCGCTACTCCTCCTTACATCATAAAAATATTACACATAGCTTTTTGCTTTGTTCTTTAACGTTCTGAAGTGGGGCATTAAGGCTCATAGATTTTCAAGGATCCTACAGTTTGGAGCCTGCTTTCATTTTTCCCTTAAACTGCCAATTTCAGCTTCATTACAGTGACATTCATTGTGAAACAAGCAGATGGAGCTTTAAAGGTGCAATTCATCCTTTAGTTAATATTTTAGATCACATGAGCATTGTTGGAAATGAGTATTCCAGAACAGAATTCATATGGTCTTTAGCACATTACTGAAGTCTATCCAGTGCCGCATAAAATATTTTTCTGTATGTCATTTGGCTGAATTTCATTTGAACTCCTAAAATCAAAGGCATTGTTACATTTGGTGTGAAAATTAAAACAAAAGTAAAGCTCTATTATGTTGGGGGTTATGGTGGTACAGGTTTGAGAGCGAAGGAGGTGAAGCAGATTGCCCTTGGTAATCTAGCAAGTCCTTAACAGAGCTGGAAGGAGAACTGGAGTCCCTGTTTGTAGGCTGCACCTAGGCTAGCCATTTACTCTGGGAATGAGTCAGTGTTGCAAGAACCTGGGGTCACTAGGCTTTTTTCTCCCCCTCCCACTGCATTCAACTGAAGCCTCCAGTTCTTTCAAAGCACTTGCGGGTCCTTCAGGAAGAGGCCTTTCAGTACTATGTGTGCCCAAGTACTTTCTTTGGTGGAATAGATGGGATTTTGCTTGAAATTGGAGCCTACATTCTACTTCATGTCCTGGCTCAGGCATCCTCGATTCAATTTAAAGTAGCTCCATGCCTAGCACAGATAGAAAAGGATAATGTTAAGCAAGGATCTGAAAAAGAAACATGCAGCAAAGATGTGCTGTAGTATCCATTTTAAAACCATTCAGATAGGTCTAGAACTTTTACATATGTTTCCTTTTTTAAGTCTGAGTTTGCCAGTGCTTTAAAATAAAGCAAAGAAGCAAAAAAATCAATAAAGCAACAAAATTAATTCATTCCACCCCCCCAAGCCTCACTTCTTTATTCTCTATAGGCATATTTCAGGTAAGCTAGGGGATTCATTTTAGTTTAAAGTCTACTGCAATGTATCCCATTGTCTACTTAAGTTCATTCTGCTGCCATTTTGCCAGCTTAAACTAATGGTTGAGCAGCTTCCCTCTCAGACACTTTCCCCATTTTAGAAATGGGAAGTTCGTTTTGCTAGCATGCTGCGAGCTACCTGGAATGGCAATGATGGCCAGGAAGTAGGTCGGTTTGCAGAAAGGCGTATTTTTGAGCTTCTGCAAACGAACATCCTGCCACTGTGCTGACACCAGTTTGAAACAAGTCAACTCTAAAAACGAACAGCAATTCAAATGCTTGATATTTAGAATTAATTACTCCGCAGCCTGTTTTCTGCACTCCACTCCTGATCTCAATAGTTTAACTTAAATGCTTTGTATTTTATTGCTCAACAAGAAAGGCAGGGCTAGGGATACTTTATAAAAGTGAACACTTTTCATTTGCAGTGTTTGCTTTGTTTATGGCTGGTTTTGTGACAACATTTGATTGAAATGCAGAGTCCTTTCTGTGTTGATTTAATTTTCTTCATCCTTCCAAGTGGAAGACTGTAAAAATCTCTCCTGTAATATTTGTTTTTTTCATGAGGATCTGTTTCTGAGAATCCACTGATCTGAAAGTCAACCTATTAAAACAGTGGTCCCTTTTATGAGGGTTCCATGTACAGTACAATTCTGCAGCCACAACATTGTTGCATAAATTTATAAGATACTAAATTTTATGGCTTTTTAGGGGCCTTTTTTTGCCATATTTTGAAGCACCTTATAAAAGGGAATCTGTTCATCTGGGGAGTTACTTTGCAGGATGTATTCTAGTGTAATCCTCCCACTGAAAGGCATCATGGCATAAAGCAGTACATATTTGTAAGCACTTTAGCACGGTCTGATATACCCGTACTAGTGCTTACACTTCCGCTTTCTTAGAAAAGCACATGGTATCATTTCAGAAGTCTTTCACCCGTTTAGGGCTGGCTCTCAGCAAAGTCCACAGAGGATATAAAGCAGCAATGTCCCTCTTAATTACTGCTAGGTTATCTTCATCACCATCCAAGTTTCTGAAAGTGAAATCTAACAAGATTATGGCAGCAATGTGTCCTAATTACAGTTCTTTAAATAGTGAAAATTTTCAGACAGAGCTACTTTTTTAGGATTGCTGTATACTTTCCAACCTTATCTAAAAAGCAGAAAATCAGGAGAAAATGGTTTGACATTCTGTATTGTATCAATTACACAAGTTACAGACTTTTTAGTTTTTCATTTATATTGCATAATTATTTAAGGTATAAAGAATGTATATTTTTTTTTAAATAGATGCTAATTTGGAAAATGATCTGTTTTTATCTAAAGCTCAATCCAGTTAAGGCAGAGTTGTTACTTGATACTGTTGGAATAAGGCAGTATACCCTTTGTTCGGAAAGGTGTTTATTTCCTTTTATGGCTTGCTTTACATCATTATGCTACAAACAATACAAAAAACAATTTCTGATTAAAACAAGGAAGACTGTTGAGAGAAGCAAGTTATTTCCAGCTCTGGCAATAATTCAGCTGAAGTAGTTGGATATATACACACTCCTTTGTTTTACTGCTCAATGAAAAGTAGAAAAAGTAATCAGAGTTGTAATGAGCACTGTTCTGCAGTCATATTCAATAAATGTCTAGTTGAGCAAGAAAGGCTTATTGCACAGCTTCATTAGCTATGCTTATTGGAAGAAATGTGACGTTTTTATTATTCTAAGGGAGAGGCTTAATTTTGTGACATTTCCTGTTTCAAGTCTTCCAAGATGATTCTATTCCCTTTGGTCCTGTAAAAAACATAGAAGATTTGATTATGAAAACCATAAACTCTTACTAATTTCAATAGAATCAATATCTAGACCACCTGAATTCTAACAATCCAAGACATGTATATTGGATTTCAGATCACAGTGCAGTTTTATTATTTTTTAGAAGAGAATGGGGTTTTCTTTTCCAGCTTCAAAGGTTGCAGACATTCAGGTATTTTCTTTACAGTTGGCCTTTTCAGTTATTTATTGTATCATTCACAGTTCCACATGCCTTAGTTCTTCTACTACTGTGATGCTTCAGGTCTGGACTACAGTACAGTTTCCAATAAAATACTACTTCAGGATAAGAGGAGTAACATGCCACAGAATGGCACAGGTGGTGTGTCTACAGCTCACAGTTAGAAGTGACCAGGGCAGCATTAGAGGATCAAGGGGGGGAAAAGAAAAAATCACCTGCTGAAATGTGGATGGCTTCCTTTGGAGGCTCTGTCTGACTTCTCAGTTTGTTCTGGCGCTTTCCATCACCTCCCCCGTTTCTGTCTGTTCCCAGCTTTTTACATTGTATCTCCATACCCCTTCTGCACTCTGAGCACATCAGTGGCTTTTCAAAATCCGTGAGGCATAATTAACTCTGGAAGCAGTCCCATGGCAGTTGATGTAATTGATTTACTGCTCCATTTCTAGAGGGATCAACCTCTCATCCTTCACACGCTGTTTCCTGTGAAGCAGTGGCATCTCCTTCAGCCAGTCATCAGCGACAAACAAGTTGCATCACAGGGAATCAGTGTGTCTTGCAATATATCAGACACTCCTCAGCTATGTGGTTGTGCTGTAGGTTACCATCTAGTTACAGTGTCACTTATACTGCACTGATTTCTTATTCTTTATATACCTTGGCATTTAGGTTTCTGATTACTAGCAAGGATCAGGAAAAAACATTGTTTAAGAATGTCACCAAGAAGAGTGGCTAGCCAGCATTCATATTCTTTAAATAGGTTAGTACTATGCAGGTTGAACAGTTCACATTTTTACAGGTGCCCATGTGAAGTTTGCACTTCTTCCTAAGTACATTTGGAATTCTTCTGCTCAGTGACACTGAGAAAAATCTGGTTTTACAAGACTGACTATTTCCATTTTGACAATGCATGCCTAGATTTCTCCCTAAATCTGGCACTTCCTATCACTGTCAGAGTTGGTTTTGTTGGTGAATTACTTCAGTGTAGGTTGCAGTATGTAGGAACTCAGTAAATTTATCTTTTGTCTTTAGTTTAATTACTTTTCTGCTTCATTGTAGGTGCGTATAGCTGCAAAATTCATCACTCATGCACCCCCTGGAGAATTCAATGAAGTATTCAATGGTAAGTAAATAAGGAAAAATGATCAGTGGTGTTTTCTTCACATTTCATCTATTATAAGTCTAAGGCTCTGTCACAACATACTGCTTTTAAGGTTAAGAAGTTGTGAGGGAAAAGCATGCTGTCATTCTGTGACTACATATGCTTAATGAAATTATTTAATCATTTTAATGTTTGCATTTGTACAGTTGAAATTGAAATGCATAAAGAGAAACATTTAATCAAAAAAATCCAATAACCTACCTGAACACTCTCTTTTCCAGATGTCCGATTATTGCTCAACAATGACAATCTTCTCAGGGAAGGAGCAGCACAGTAAGTACTAATATTTCAAACACAAGTCAAATTACCATCAGAGATGCATATCTTTTCTTACACTCATCATTCTGTGACAAAGCCAGCCATTTGTTGTATTGAGAACAATCTTCTGTAATTCTTCATCCCCCCAACAAAATACATAATGGAAGGCATGGATGATTCTTTTTAAAAGCCCTAAATTGGAATGTGTGCTGTAGAGACTGTATAAAACTGACAGGAAGGCACTCTGCCAAAAAGTTTAACTCTGCTAATGTCTGATCTTGTTGAAGCATGATTTGTAAAGCAAGTGAAGCCTGAAATACTGAGTAATCCTTAGCTGAAGTTTAGAAAAAGAATTGCCCTCAAAAAAAAAGCTTTCAAAATATCTTGTTTACTTGCACAGTCTCATCAAAAGGTGCTTAAAGGTTATGCATACAAGCTTTTTGATGCTAAGATTTTACTTCAAGCTAGGTGACATGTCAGTCAGCAGGTCTTTACATAAGAAAATTGTTGTAAATATTAGTCTACTCATTTGTTTACCTTGCTGCTGTCTAAATTGTAGCTGGGGTGTTCCTGTTTTGCCTTGGCTTGCTCATATTCCCCCAGGCTGCCTGATGTTCTACTTTTGAACTCTGTACTTTCCTGGTCATCACTAAATAAACCTGGCTTTAGACCTGGGTTTTTATAGCTATCATCAATAAAAGGTATTGAAAAATCCTTTAAGAGTGCTCGTGTGTATTATTTACCAAATTAAGTTGAAGTTTTCTGTAATATAAGTCACACCATGTACTTATTCTTGAGTCAAAATAAATGTGCATGTACAGCTAAAGCTCATGTTCTTTTAATTCTTAACAGTGCATTTGCACAGTATAACATGGATCAGTTCACTCCGGTGAAGATAGAAGGGTATGATGATCAGGTAAGAGAAAACTTTTTACACTTGAGGTTTGTATTACTACGCTGTGCAAAAACAATAAAAATATTGTTTCATCAACATGTTGACTAGTTTCATTCTACTCACAAGTTACCGCCTCTCCTCTTTCCCCCACACATTATTATATTACCAAACTTTTGTTCTTACAGAAGAAGCATAGGTGAAATGTTCTCTTAAAGTATTGTCTGATACTACCTAGTAACTCTAATTCATTGTTCCTTAAGTAAAGCTCCATGCTGAAGTCACTGGAATTCTACTTGGAGCATGAATGATTAAAGATTACTGTTTATTTAAAGCTCACTTACAAATCCTTATGTTGCTACCTGCTTACAGTTCCTACTCACAATCGATAGTAGATTCTTAATTTTTTTTTTTCTTCATTTTCTGCATTTTTAATCCATTCCTAGCTACCCTAGAAAACATATTGTATCTTTGATGATACTAATCTAATACTATCCAGTCTATGCCAGCAAAACAAATTTTTTTTTTTTTTGAGAACAAGCAGCAAGTCCTACAGAAGATAGAAAGCTGGCCCGACCATCTGTTCTATTCTCCGAATCAAGTACTGACCTAGCTTTTCTGGTATCCCAGATATGTTCATGGGAGGCAGATATTTTTAAGAGGGCTGTCCATAGAAATAGCTTTGACAAAAGAAAGTTACAGTACAACCTGCAACAAAAATAATAAAGTTGATGTTTGGGAACCCAGAGAATTATGGTGAATAAGACAAAGGAGAGGGAAGGTACAGTGCTGCTTTGCTGTGTACTTTAGTTTGTGTATATTGGAAGTAGCCACATCTATATACCCTTCTTCACCAGAAGGAGAGCTATTGCAACATGGAACATGACAATAAATGGTAAATTCCAGAGTAAAATTCTTTGTTTCCTTTAGAAATGGGGAAGGAAAACAGCAAAAATAACTTTAAAAGCAAAACCACCTGTTTGTATTGTAAGGATGCCCAACTTTAAGCTCAATATATACACTATTATAATACAGCCATTTGTGGGACAGAAGACTAAGTGCAGTATTACTGTGAAGAGCAGAGAGTTTACCTACAGCCTCACTACAACTACTCTTAGTTGAAATTATTACTGAAAATCCTTGTTTCTTTATGTGATATTATAGCTCAATGTAAGAATCTATTGAAACATTGATATCTATTCAAATAGTCAGGGAAAAATGCAAACCAGCACGTTTACAGCAGCATGAGTGTATCTTAATTTCAACTTCTTTTACAGGTCTTAATCACAGAACATGGTGATCTGGGCAATGGCAGATTTTTAGACCCAAGAAACAAACTTTCTTTTAAGTTTGATCATTTAAGGAAAGAAGCAAGTGACCCCCAGCCTGAGGACACAGAATCAGCTTTAAAACAATGGAGGGATGCCTGTGACAGTGCATTGAGAGCTTATGTGAAAGATCATTACCCCAATGGCTTCTGTACTGTTGAGTATCCATCTTGTTTCACTGAAAGTTCCTTGCTCCATGCCAGTCAGTATCTTGAGTGGTCTTTGTGCTGGGCAGTGCTGTTTGAATTTTCCATCCTCACTAGCGTTTTTGCTAACTTTGGAATAACAAGTTCCAGAGAGAGTGCAAATATCTTGGTATGCACACAGTGGTAAAGATGTATAAGCATTATTTTTCATAGTCATGACTGCCAAGCACCTTAACACCTGCAGTTAATAAAAAGGAGGCATTATGTGCACATATGTGCAAATGGAGGTGTTGGACAATGTAATTAGTGGTACATGTTCCCAGTGAGATACCACAATAGCAAGCCTCCACAATGCTGCCAAGAACAGAAATTAAGAATGGCTTTCCTCAGTTCTTGGGCCTTTTTAACTCTTTTTCTAAATACAGGTTTATGGTAAATCTATAGATGGGCAGCAGACAATTATTGCCTGTATTGAGAGCCACCAGTTCCAGCCCAAAAACTTCTGGTAAGACTATTTCAACATAGTGTATTTTCTTCCTTTACTAGTCCTCAAACAAACCCATCCTCTATGTCTTCTGACACAGTCTGAAGGGCAAGTAGTCTTGGGCTTCCCAAGAAGTTCCGCTTCTCATTCAGTAGTCCATTTTCCTTGCAGCCCCCTTGGCACTTCCCTAAAGCCTTCGGTGTGGCTTAATGACCTATCCAGAGAGAAAGGCCTTAGCAGGGCTAGATAGATACCCCCTTACATATTCCAGAGCACAAGTGCACTGGAGCTAGTCTGTACTGAAGCTGCGTTGTATTCAGCTGTGCTTCAGAAATTTAATTCAATGCCATATAAGGCACTGTAATATGGGTCATAAGAGGACAGCAGAAACAACTTGCTCTTGTTAATTTGGTTGTTTTTGTTGTTAGAGCTTTTTGGAAATACAGTTTTCATGCTTTGATTGTTTTTAGGAATGGTCGGTGGAGATCAGAATGGAAGTTTACCATCACACCACCAACAGCTCAAGTGGCTGCAGTGCTCAAGATCCAGGTGAGTTACTTTTTCTCGCAATAACAGGAGAAGCTGCATTGTGCTTCTATTACGCCAATGCATTCGACTCAGAATGAGATGCTGAAATACAGCTGAGATGTCCTTCTCAAGTCAAGAAGCTATTAAATTATACAATTCAAGAAATTAATTCTTAAAACTAGTGTTTCGGACATCATCTACAGTCTGGCCTGTGGTCTATTATATAGCATTACCCTATATGCCTCCAAGTCTGCTTCACTTTATAGGGCTAAAACCTATACCATGAATTCTTTTATAATTGCTCTTATTTCAACTCTAGGCGTTTACTGCATTAACATAATCTTGAACAGTCTTGACAAAGAATGAAACCTTTTAGAAAACCCATCCTGCTTTTAGTCTCCACGTAAGCAGAGAAGACTGGCACAACAATGCTGTTGTGCCATTCTGGTAGCATTTGGGGGCTCTAGGGATTATAAAATGAGTGTTAGTGATAACCTGCATTTTGTCTCTTTGTTCAGGTTCACTATTACGAAGATGGCAATGTTCAACTGGTTAGTCATAAAGATATCCAGGACTCTGTACAGGTTTCAGTAAGTATGCTAAAAGATTTTTTTTATTATAAAGCAGCTATTTTATTTCTTAAACATTGTGTGCAGCATACACTTCTGTGACTAAATTCTCTTGACTTTAAAGTAATGCAATTTTAGAGTGACTAGTCAGTGTAGTTGTAGCGTTTAGAGTTACGTGGGAAACCCAGATTCTCAATTGCTTGAAGTTAGACTGTATTAGAAAGTAAAGTCTCTATTGGAAAGCTTATCTTACGAGTTTCAGTTAAAGAGGGCAGAATATGCTTTTCTGTCTATATGCAAGGGAAACGAACAGTAAGAGCAGTGTACTAAGGGAAATAAGAAGTCCTGTAGTACAGTAGAGGGAGCAACAGTCACAAAATCTCTAATCTGTACCATGCAGGTCTACTTCCCTTTTGCTCACTAGGGTGCAGTCCTGTTTCAGTTTGGAGCACAAGCTCTAGCCAATACATAACCTCTATCTTGAACCTCACTGAGACAGCCTTCGTGAGTAAAAGGAACCCAGCTACAAATATGAGGCGGAAGCTGCTGGTGTTATCCACTTCATCTATACTCAGCCTATCATTTGAGAAGAAATCTGTTGTGTAACTTTTGTAAGTTGCTCTTAAACATAGAAAAATTTATTTTTCTCCTTTGTAGAGTGATGTCCAGACTGCTAAGGAATTTATTAAGATAATAGAAAATGCAGAAAACGAGTACCAGGTAAGATCAGTTGTTGTTAAATAAATACTACGGAATCATGTCAGTTTCCATTTACAGTTAATGGAAACATGGAAAATTGACCTCTAATTCTGGTTCTGGCTGAGTCTAGTATTGACTGTAAGAATTACTTAGAAAAGGGCAGTAGTATCTGTTTAAAGAATATAGTTGTAAAGCTATGTGTAATTAATAATCAAGTTTGCTGTATCGTTATTTTAAAGGGTTACAAATGATGCCTGGAACAAGCATGGAAAGGGAGTGGGCAAGTCTAAATGTTTTCCTCTGTGACAGTTAAAAATACTGAAGAGGAAATGCGTGTGGCAGCTTTATATGTTGTCCCAGCCTGTGTGCAAGGAGATTCAACACAGATAAGTCAGTGAAACACCTAAGCAGCCCGCTACTCACAGGGGAGTTTAATAGAAACCTTTTTACTTGCACACACACCAGTGACTGCATTATTAATTTAGTTAATAGTGTGCCTTCGCCTTGTAGAAAGGGTTTTGTGGCTTTAATACTGAGTCATGCTTTTTCAAGGTACCTTATTACTGCTGTAACTGAATCTACTTGCCATTGCAGACAGCAATCAGTGAAAACTACCAGACTATGTCAGACACCACTTTCAAAGCCTTACGTCGGCAGCTACCCGTCACCCGCACCAAGATCGACTGGAACAAAATCCTCAGCTACAAGATTGGCAAAGAAATGCAGAATGCTTAATGTGGAAATGAGGAGATTTATGAAATGTTTGTGTGCAAAAAACAAATGTGGTCCTATGCCAAGTAGATGGTTTCTAGACCAGTGCAGCATTTTTCTAGGGCTTTCAAAGTTAACAGGTTTTCTAGCCTCAGAGAGAACTGTGGAACAAATAGCGTTGTCTTTGTGTTTTGTGTTTCCTGCCACATAAACTTCCTGTTGTGACTGCATTTACTGATAGGTCATTTTAATTAAACCACATTCATGGTTCAGAAGTATAGCTTTTCAGTCACTGATTGTACTGGTTGGAAAACTTCCTAGCTGGAAAAGCCCTATTATAAATACAGCTGAGGGTGCAGAGCATTCCCTTCACCCGTATACAGCACTCCAGGTACTCCAGTAAGTTTGTCAAATCTGCCAACAGCTCAAGGCGCTATGCTGCAAGATATAATAAATGCAAAAGACAGCGAGTCCTCATGTATCCTTATTACTGACCTCCACAAAGCAAAAAGCCTCTAGGCCTAGATTTTACTATATAAAATGAGTTTACAAGATCCTTTACAGAAATCCCTACGCAGCCAGCTCTTCCAGGGACGCAATAGATTTTTTTTTTTTTTAAATCTGAAGATTTGAGCCATGTTCCCTAAAAGTGAACATTTTTGCTCTCCCCTCCCTCATGTATGTACGGTTATCAGACATCTGCATTTTTACAGAACTACAAGTTCCTGTGTTGAATCACTGCTGATCCATGTAGGCTGGATAGTGACTAAAAATGCAAATGTCTACAGAATAATAGGTATGTTGTGCTTTAATGCTTTGTGGCAGGTTCATAGAATTTGTATCACAGGTGTATGAATGGATAGTGTACAAAATAAATAAACTTGCACCAAAGTGAGAGAAAAAAACCTTTCCGTTTTGTCTCAATTGTGGCCAGTTTCTTGTTATACTTAAAGGGGATTTTGGAATTAATCTCTTCATTGCTCTCTAAATGCCTGCTCTATATTACTTTGTTTTTCTGTAAAATCAAAAATAGCAGTCCTACCAGTTTCTCTTAAGGGGAGGTTGAAGGGGCATGCATATGCCTTTCTCAGTCAGAACTCGGAACATGGATTCGCTGCAAAATGAAACCCCTTTGGTAAACTCACTTTGCTGTGTTTGCACTTGGTTATCACTGGGCCTTCTTGTAGGTTCTGGTTTTTAAACTGGCTAGTGTCTTCCTATTTTTAAATACACAAAGAAAGGGGTTGGGAAGGTAGGGATGGGACTGCCTGTGCATTAGACTTAAAGTTTTGCACAGTATTACCACAAAACAAGTGTGTCTGTCCTTTGTGAGAAGTTTTGTCTAAATAAAATATATTTGTATTTGCTGTTGAGACTGACCATTCATCCTGCAGGCATCCTCTGTATCAAACAGTCTAGTAGAATTACACCGGTCTTTGTTTTAAAGCCATTTGTGTCTGTTCTTTCATGGTCTTACTTCTGTTAGCTCCTGATGAAGGCAGGTCCTACAGGGACCTGAAACAGCCTGAAAGCAGGGGTGGTATCGCTTGCAAACTCACAGGTGATGCTCCCATCCTGGTATGCAGACCAGGGAACTGGAGGGCTAAGAACTTTCAAATTAAGAGAAAAACAGTCACACAGCTCTAATGAAGCACTTTACCCCAGGAAAACATAGCGGACAAGGCTATTCCACTCATCATCTGTGTCTTACTGTTACACCTACCTCACCTCTTCTGCTCAGCTTGCGGAACACTAACTGCTGGACGCGTCCTACGCCGGGTGCACTGGACAAAGCAGGACTGTCTTCTGGAGGATTTGCACGCCGCTGTGCAAAGAGCTCCTCAAGGACAGTGCTTCTGCCAGCAGTGTTTGTAGAAAGGGTTTCCTCCCTGGCTGCAGTGCCTAGAGGAGATGAAAGGTTATGTGGACAAGCACCTAAGGTGCTGTGGTCTGCGGCTGTAGTCCCATCCAGACAAGCACTGCAGCAATTCCAAGAATGTGAAGCTGAAGCGGGGGCCCAAGATAAGGCTGTGCATACAACAGAGCTTTTATCTGCCTCAAGGCTAGTCTTTCCCGTCCTGGATTAGTTACACTGCAAGTAGTTCACCGCCACTTGTTCCAGCCTTAAGACCGTTTCTATCTCTTTGTCCTTCTCCAAATCTTTAGCTAATCATCCTTTAGGCCGACTCATTCCCTGCCTGCCTCCTGGCCCTTCTCCCCCACCAGCCTTCTCTACAGCAGGCTCAGCTATCCCGGGCCTAGCCCCTTCCCAGCTCCTATTTCTTCCTTGGAAAAGCAACACTTGGTGTGACTTACCACCACTGGGGCACTAAGCAAGTGCCAGCCCAGTGGTGACACATGCCCAGAGGCATTCTAATCCTTAAAGCCATC